AGGAGACAAGTCAGAGGGGCACTTGGGGGCCAGGTTAGAGCCTTATAGCTCATAGTTAGGACGTTAGCTTTGATTGTCAGGTGGAAAGCCACTGGATGCTATTGAGCAGAGGAGTGACATGTTCTGATCTAAAAGTTTTCACAAGGTCATTCTGGCTGCTATGGTAAGAGAAGCCCTAGGAGGGACAAGGATGGAATCTCGAAGACTGGTCATGGGCTGTTGTAATAATCTAGGCGAGAGATGATGGTGGCTTTAATTAGGAAATTAGCAGTAGAGTTGGTGAGAAGTTTTCATGTTCTGAGTATATTTTGAAGATAGAACCAGCAGGATTGCTGGGGATAAATGTACAATGTGAGAGAGACAGTTGTTAATGAATCCAGAATTCTTTATTTGAGCGATTGGAAGAATAAAGTTGCTCTTAGCTGAGATTTGGAAGACTATACTTGGAGGCACAGATTTTGGAAGAAGTCTCAGGAGCTCGGTTTGGGACATGTTAGGCATACAAGTGGAAATGCCAAGTAGGGATTTGGGCATACAAGTCTGGAATTCAGGGGAGAGGTCTGGGATGGAGCTGTAAATATGGGAGTCCTCACACTGTATGTAATCATTTGGAGAAAAATAAGAGAGAGGAAAGGTCCAAGCACTAATCGTAGCACATGGCAAGGTTTAAGTCAGGGAGATGAAGAGGAACCAAGAAAGGAGTGGAGGAGGAGGAGCAGCAAGGTAAGACGAAAACTAGGTGAAGGTCGTGTCTTGGAAGTCAGGCCAGTGGGTGGAAGAGGTGAGATTAGTCAGCTGTGTCAAACCCTGCTGATTGGTAAAGAAAGATGGAGAATGAGAATTGGCCGTTAGATTTAGCAACATGGAAATCTTTGGTGACCCAGATGAGAGCAGTCTTGGTGGTGAGGTGGAGTCAAGAACCTAATTGGAGTGGATTGAGGGAATATTTAGTGAGCTTCTACTGCTCTTAATGAACTGTAAGCTCCTTTCAGGCTGGAACTATGCTTTCTTCACTGCTGAATCCTGTCAGTCAGGCAGAGGATGCGTTCTCCCTCACCCCGCCTTTTGTTCTGTTCAGACCTCCCTCAAATCACATGAGGCCCTCTCACGTTTGGGACGGCAATCTTGTTTACCCAGTCTACTGATTCACATGTTGAGCTCATCCAGGACACGCTCACAGACACACCCAGAATCGTGTTTAACTAAATATCTGGGCACTTAGGCGGGTCAAGGTGACACACAAAATGAATGATCACAAGAACCAGTGACGAGTCATTATTGATCTGGTGGCCTATACATCTCCCATTTTGCTGTTTTTATCCTGGTTGTCCCATGAGTTCTTTGTTCTCTTTTTCCTGTTTGTCTGCCTTCTTTGGATCCCTGGATATTTTTTTCTGTGACTCTGTTTTACCTCCTTTGTTGGCATGTTAGCTGTAACCCTGTTGTGTTTTCTCACTGGTTTCTTGAGGGTTTGTACAGTGGTCCCCAACCAGGGGCAGTTTGGCCTGCCAGGGGATTTTTGGCAACGTCTGGAGACATTTTTGACAAAACTGGGCAAAATTTTTGTTTATTCTGTGATTCTTTAACTTATCACAGTCTGCTTTCAGGTAATATTACACCATTTCACCAATGGTATAAACACTTTACAACGTAGACTTCTATTTTGGCCTCCCAGAATTTGTTATTGTTTTTCTGCTTTTTATTTCTGCATATAAGCCCCACAATAAATTATTGTTTTTTCTTGAGTCAATTATTTTTAAGATTTTTTTAAATAAAAGTCTTTTATGTTTAACCACATATTTACCATTCCTGAGTCTCTTCTTTCTTCTGTATAGATCCGTATTTCCCTCTGGTATCATTTTCCTTCTGCCCGGAGGACTTCTGTCAGCATTTCTTGTACTGCAGGGCTGTTGGGGATGAATTCTTTCAGCTTCCATGTTGGTGAAAAAGTCTTTATTTTACCTTTTTCTTTGGAAGATGTTTTGCTGGGCATACAATTATAAGTTAACAGTTTTTTTTTTTAATACATTAAAACCGTTTCTCCACTGTCATTTGTTGTGCACTGTTTTCAACAAGAAAACATTCTTCTCATTGATGCTCTTACATAATATGTCTTTTTTCTCTGGCTTCAGTGTAAGATTTTTCTCTTTACCACTGATTTTGAGAACTTTGAGTGTGATGTGCCTCGGTGCAGTTTTCCTCATGATTCTTATGCTTTGGGTTCTTGAGATTATTGGATCTATTTATTTAGAGTTTTCATCAAATTAGGAAAATGGTCAGCTATTACTTCTTCCACTAGTTTTTCTGTCCCTCTCGTCTTCGCTCTCTTCTTTGGCGTCTCCAATAACATAGATATTCAACTGCTTGAAGTTGCTTGCTTTTAGGACTTGTTGCCCGTTTTTCCCTTTTTTTTTTCCCTTGTCTTTGTTTCATTTTGGATATTTTCTATTGCTATGTTTTCAGGCTCACTAATCTTTTCTTCTGCAGTGGGTGATCTGCTCTTAATCCCATCCAGTATATTTTTTGTCTGAGACATTGTGTTTTTCTTCTCTAGAAGGTTGATGTGGTTCTTTTTTTGTATCTGCTGTGTCTCTACCTAACATGTTCAATCATTCCTTAACTTTTTGAACATATATAGTACAAATGTAAAAAGTATTTTAATGTCCTTGCCTGCTATTACAAACATTTGTATCAGTTCTGCGTCCATTTTGATTGAATGATTTTTCTTTGCGTTATGGGTCATTTTTTTTCTTGGTACTTTGCACTACTGCTATTTTTTATTGGATTCCAATCATTATGAATTTTACCTTGTTGAATATTGGATACTTTTATATTCTTGTAAATATTCTTGAGCTTTATTTGGGATGTAGCTAAGTAACATTGAAACAGTTTGATTCTTTCAAGGCTTGATTTTAAGGTTTATTCAGTCAGACCAGAGCAACATAACTTGGGATAATAATTTTGCCCCATTACTGAGTACCCTTTGGAGTCCTGTACCCAATACTTTGTTTATTACAGCCTTTTTTTTTTTCCATTCTGGCTAGTGGTAAGATGAACTATTCCCCACTTTGTGTGAGCCTGGTGAGTTTTCCCTCTGATCTTTTCCAGTGGTTCCCTCCTCGCTTTGTGTAGTTTCCTCTTATACACACTCTTTCAGTGTGTAGGAAAAGGAATTGTTAGCTTGTTGGTGAAATAATTCAGATAACATTTCTAATGACAAAATATTGGCTTTGATCAAAAGATACAGGGTAATATAATTTGTGTCATGTCCTTAAAGAAAGTTGACATCGGTCTTAGCAGTATCTTTTTGAATACCATGTCTACTCAGGCAAGGGAAAGAAAAGAAAAAATAAACAAATGGGATTACATCAGACTACAGTGCCCTGCAAGGCAAAGGAAACCATCAAGAAAACAAAAAGACAACCCATGGGGCTGGCCCGGTGGCACAGCAGTTAAGTGCACACGTTCTGCTTTGGCAGCCCGGGGTTCGCCGGTTCGGATCCCGGGTGCAGACATGGCACCACTTGACAAGCGATGCTGTGGTAGGCGTCCCACATATAAAGTAGAGGAAGATGGGCACGGATGTTAGCTCAGGGCCAGTCTTCCTCAGCAAAAAGAAGAGGATTGGTAGCAGTTAGCTCAGGGCTAATCTTCCTCAAAAAAAAAACCCAAACAAACAAACAAAAGAACTGGACTATTGGTGATGAACACAATGCAGTCTATACAGAAACTGAAATATAATGATGTACACCTGAAGTTTACACCATGTTATAAGCCATGTGACCTCAATAAAATAATTTTAAAAAAGAAAATTGAATAATAGTAAGGAAACTAATTTCTGCTGACTTTGTTTTTAAACTTAAACTAGGCTGAAGAGTTCAAATTTTATATTTTATTGTTTTCTACAATTTGTGCTCATTACAATGAAGTCGTATACCTTTGTACTCCTCAGTTTTCCCATTTATAATGTCACTTGAAAGAACTGTCAATGTATCAGTGTATATAAATGATGATCCTGTGGAGAGCAGTGGGCTTTATTTCACTTACAGTACTTCGATTTTAACGTAGTATATAATTACACTTTTATTTTTGACTAGCGTTTTGGTAGCATAAATACTCAATTGTGTGCAATGCAAAGATATATGCAGTTCCACTCATAAATTCATAATGGATAGGTGCTTAAAATATATTTAAGCCTTTAGGTAGCACAAAAATCTTTGTCTAATAATAACCTACCTTGATGCAAAAAGTAAAATCAACTTTCAGATTTTTCTATAAATTATTGATTTTTGATACTTGCTATTGACAAAGTCGATTTTGCTCTACTTTTAGAAATTAACAATGATTATTCTCTTCTAAAATCTCACAAAATTAATTGAAAGTGTATGTGTGTGTTTTTTTTCATTCCTAGATAGTAAACTTAGGAAAATAAATTTGTCACTCAGCAAAAGGACCAAATTATTTCATTCCTAGATCTTACTACTTTTAGTCTATTATGAAGCTTCCTATTAATTTAGAAAGTGTAATAAAAAGCATATGCTTCATAACACCTTTTTATGAGACATTTGAACACTTTGCAGGTATCATCTCATCAATTCTCAAAAATATTCAGTAAGCTAACTCAGCACTGATGAGGACTGTTAAAAGCTCAGGAATATTTTGTATGACCTGCGACGTACGCCCTTGGAATTAGCTTGCTACTATTATTTTGGGTTAGCCATTGTCTTGAGTGTGTCCTTTCATGAAATGAAGACATCCTCTGGAATAATCCTTGGCAGAAGGGTTATGTGCATCATTTGTGGCATCATTTGTGCAAATAGGCATCATTATTTAATAGAGCATTTGTGATAATTATAATTATCTACATTCCCTTTTATTTTAGTCAGTGAAGTAGATTAAAACATGGAGTGTTTTACCATTTAGTTTATTGTTAATCATTCTAATTATCTTTTATTTCCTCTTTATCCATCCCCCACACCCCTCTCTTTTTCTGCTGATAGCTGTATGCCATCCCTTGGTTTCTCACCATGTTTACTCGTAAGTATCATTTTCTCTTTTCTTTCAATATTATGTTAGCAAAGGACAGCTCCATTCTTCCCCTGTATTTTATAGTTGCAGTCATATTAAGTAGATTTAATTGTGTAAACATCTTTATGTAATACTAATGTAATGGATTTGGGTAGAAAAAATTTCAATTTTCTGATTGCTGAATATCAAAAAGAGTGTTGTATAGGATGAAAACCCTTTTCACATGTCGTGACATCATAAAATCTCTGTCCTCTATTGAAAAAGAAATTAACATTAACTGTAGTATTTATGTAAAGCTTTGGAAGGCAACTTTTACACCCAAATCAAACAATTTTTAGAGATTCTTTAATAACTAATACTTTGTTTCCTAAACTGGAATTCCTCTAGAAGTTAAGCAGATTATGTGAATGTGTAATGCTTTAATCAGTTACAAATATTAATCCACTGGACATCCTACTTAAATATGTACATATAATAAATGGAGTACAATATTTGAAGTAGATCTATATGCCTTGGCCTGCAGAGATCCACAGTATTGTTAAATTAAAAGAAGAAATTTCAAAAAACAGAAAATTGCTAATCGGATTTTTTGATAGGAATCTAATAAAGCAATTATTGAGAGTATGTCATAGAAGTGTAACAATACTGAATCTAAAGCAATACTACAGTTCATCTGGGTAAGTCAGCTTGTGAGAATAATGTAACTGGAAAATTCTAAGAAGGAATATACTGAATGGAATAGCTATACCAAATTGATAATGGAGGTTAGAAAATGTCGTCTATTTGAGCAATCTGATTTTCAGTTTTTAAGATGCCTTAGGAAGCAATAAATGTACAAAGCCAGGTAAACATTTTATAAAAAGTTTTACTTTGATCATAAGGTAATTGTCATGTCTAGTAAAGTAGCTTGTTATTGTTTTAATTTTTCTTCTTTTGTTTTTTATTTTAATTAATTCCTATTTTGTTTACAGATGTATTTCCACTGCACAAAATTTTCCACCTCTGGGATACCTTACTACTGGGGAATTCCTCTTTCCCCTTCTGTATTGGAGTAGCAATTCTTCAGCAGCTACGGGACCGGCTTTTGGCTAATGGCTTTAATGAGTGCATTCTTCTCTTCTCTGATTTACCAGGTATAATATAAATAGATGGAATCACTAAGTCATATTTAATTATAAGATAATGAGGCATTCTTATAGCGATTTGCAAAAATAATCACCCACGCCTTCAGAATCTCTTCTGCTTGAGCCTCATCATGCTTCTCCGGATTCTCTCTCTTACACTGCCTCTTCTGTGGCCCAGCATTGTAGATACAAAACTGGCTCATCGTAGCTCACTGTGGCTTACTTTCATGTCAGTGATGCCACCAAAAGGGAAAAAAACTGGGGGAATGACATATTTGCCTTTTTGCTTAGGACAGGCCTGTTTACCCTCAGTTGATAGGGAGTAAATAAAGGCCATTGGGAAGGTGTTTGAGATGCTATGTTTGTACAAAGGTGCAATTCACATGGAACTCTGCTCTCTCCCATCCATAGCTGCTTGCTACAAATTTGGCAGTTAGAAGAAAGGAAACACTGTCTGCTTAGGAGGGCAAGTCACACTGCGGGGAAATTCGATGTCATACAATGCGGGATAGCTACATATTAAGCTACATATTGTATCCTCAGGTGAGGAGTTTGTAAATCTAGGAGCTGAATGCTCAAGTGTAGGAATATGGAATGCAATGGTGGTCCAAGCTTTGATGCTGTGGTTGAAAAGATGAAAGTAACGTGGTCACGTAGGATGTAACAATCTGTGAGAGAAGAAAACTAAACTACATTTTTGCAGAAACCGAAATGGTTTTCCGGTAGAAAAATTCTGCTTTCTTCAGACAGCATTTCATCGGCTCCAACCTTCTGCTGAGTGTATCGCTGTTCTCCAGGTTTTCCAGCAGGCGCACGTGACTGCTGATGATAAACATACTTAAAATTATCCACGAGATAAATTTGCCTGAAAACCAAAGAGAGAGAGGTTCCTTAAGATTGTGTGTTTGTGAAGCGCTCTCTGGAGGAAGGCCTGACTTTTATGTTAGCGGGTGATCTGCTCCCGGCACTGCACCAGCTCTCTGTCGAAAATCTTCATGCGTTTTGGGGAAATAATAACAAAAATGCTTCAATTTATTTAAAACTTCTTCTTTCCCCTTCCCCCAAAATTAAAAATATCACCATCAGCTTTCTAATTTATCAAACTTTAATTAAAATAAATTACTTCTTATATGACCTAATAGTAGTTTAGTTCTTATATTATTTTTTTCTAGGAGATTCTTTATGAAGATCAAGTTATCTGTCCTTTTTTTTTTTTGCCTTTTGGTGTTGAACAGTAACAAATAAGCTAGTTTCACAAACTAGGAATACCGTCTGTACCCACAGATGTTTTCCTGTCATACTCGCCAAAGTAAACAGAGGATGATTGATTAGAATTAAAAGAATTTTGCGGGGGGGCTGGGCCCGGCCTAGTGGTGCACCAGTTAAGTTCGCACATTCCGCTTCAGTGGCCCGGGCTTCGCTGCTTCAGATTCCAGGCATGGACCTATGCACCGCTTGTCAAGCCGTGTTGTGGCAGGTGTCCCACATATAAAGTAGAGGAAGATGGGCACAGGTGTTAGCTCAGGGCCAGTCTTCCTCAGCAAAAAGAGGAGGATTCGTGGTGGATGTTAGCTCAGGGTTACTCTTTCTCAAAAAAAAAAAAGGAATTTTCTTGGTATGTTCTAAAAAAATATATATTAGGAATGCTGATTGTGCATTTTTGCATTTTCAAGTCAAGCGAAGTTAATGCTATTCCAATTTCATATATAAATATGCCAGTGAAACACTGGGGATGGAATCTGTTTTGTATAAACAGATTAGTAGTAACTCTGCTTATTGTTAAAATTTTTTCTGAAATCACAAAGTAAGAGTACATGTTTGTTAGAACTGACTCTTGAAAAGGTAAACTTTTGAAGTAGGGTGCCGTCTGTTGATGGAAGTTGCCTTGATCCTCAGTGTCATTATTCTGGCTCATCACTTGCTTGGTCACTGTATTTGATAACTGTTGGTGAAGAAAAAAGTTTATAGGAAAACTCTCACTGGAAAAAAAAAAAAGAAGAAAGGATGTAAATGCAGACTTTGCCCTAACTACACCTGCATTTGTTTTATTTGTAATTTCAGTGCACATATTTGGGATGTCTTTCTTAAACAGATCTAAACAGATATCTTTTTTTGTCATGTTGAGTCCCCTAACTGTACTTGATGCTTAAAGATATTGGAAAGTGGTCATGAAAAGTCCTAAAAAGTGAATTCAGATGGATACACGCACAGACACACTAGGCGCCATTTCTAAGTGAGCTCCGCCATCACTGCCTGTGTGAATTGGGAGACTTCTGGTGTGGCTCTGCTGCTGCACGAGGGGCCTGCAGAATGAGGCAGATAGGAGTTCATATCCCAGCTCCGGCACACAGTGGCTGTGTGAATGCGGGCAAGTTTTTCATCTCACTGGAAAGAGAATCCTAAACATTATGAAAGTTTCAGTAAAATGGAGATAATAATAGCTGCTTTAGTGGTATGGTGAGCACTAAAGATAATATGCATAGGGCACCTGATACAAAACCTGGTACCAAGTATGCGTAACTGCTTTTTTAAAGTACATGTCATATTTAATATTTTAAATATGCAAAGAATGTGTAACATTCAGGCTTGTAAGTTCCTTCTTCTTTCTTTCTCCTCTTCTTCACCTTATACTAACCCTTTGATTCTTGAAGAGACAAGACAGCAGAAAGGCATTATTGTTTTTGCCCAAAATTTTTCCCATTTCTGTTCACTTGCAGTAGATAATACAGTGTGATGTTACATTCCGAGGAAGTACGAGTGGTGCTCAAAGTCCTTGACATGTATTGGTGTGTGAGTCATTTTCGTACTCCAGGAAATAATGGTAGATTGGTGCATCTGGCAGTTCTCAAACAATCTCAAAATAGTGGCAAGATATTTTGGAACAAACGGTGGGGTTGCCTTAGTGCCATTCAATAAGGTCTGTTGGCCACTGGGGTTAAGAGAACAGTTTCCATGGTTACCGCTCTTTCAGCCCAATTACAGGATGAAGTCTGTCAGCCTTCCACCTGCTCTCTCCAATATTATTCTGCTGTAGTGTCCATCTGGCTGATTTAAAACAAATTTTTTTTGAGGATACATCCAAGCAGTTTTCAAGATGAATAAGATAATCTGAATAAAACCAAAATGGTAATGATTTTAGAGTGGATTTGTAATAGCGGAGATGTTTACATGCTTTTTTGTTTTGTTGGTATATTTTCTTTGTACAGTTGAAAATTAATTCAGCGTATTTATGTCATTTTGTATGGCTGAAATAAATTTCTTAGAATGCGTATCTTTGTATGCTTGAGCATCTTCGAAGATAGGAATATTTAGAAGCAGAAAAGACCTTTATCTTAGAGAACGTGTAGAAAAAAACTGTGAAATCTGTGTGGAAGAACACTTAATTTAGTGTAGTAAATTAATGTAGTTAAAGTAAAATAGTTACTCTAACATTAAGAGCAAGAAATATGTATGTATAAACTATTTTAGAAGGAAATACTGAGTATACTGAAGAGACTTAAGCATACGAAAAGTTTCAAATCCTGTTTGCAGGAAGAAATTAGCATTTGGCTGAAAAATCTTAATTGTGTGATGTATGTTTTATTACAGAAGCTTAATTGGAAGTAAAAGTTTTAAATAAAATTTTAGAAGATTTCATTTCGGTATTACCTACGTATTTTACAATAGGATTCATTTTCAACACATACTGAAAAATACTGGTAGCATCTCACTGTTATGTAGCACTCCACTAGTTCCCCAAAATATTGTATTAGTGCCTTAAGTAGCTAGGAAAGGTACTTATCTATTCTCACTTAAAGCACTTTTGTAATGCAGGTTCTCATTATAAGCATAACGTGGAATATTTCATGAAACCAGTACATTTTTTTAGTAACATAGTTATGTGCCAGGTTGCCTAAGATCTATGATAAGAAATCCAGGCCATTTTTTTCAAATAACATCCAAATATGTTGAGACTGAAACAAAATGAGTCAAGTTATAAAAACTAAGAAATAGAGCAAAGTACTAAAATATGCAAACTCTAAAGGCAAGGCTCATTATTTTCCTGTTCATCCCCAAGATGGAATTGGATATTGATGAAGATGAGAAAGTAAGGAGAGAATGCAATTCAATTTGTGAAATTTCATAGATTTTAAGGTACTTTGGATGATCCCTGGGGTGGGAAAGGGAGAAAGAAGGGCAGTGAGAAGTGGTCTGGGTTTTCCATGAACGTTTTCCTGCTTTCATTTAGGGATAAATATAAATGAAATAAGGTTACCGTAATATTTATATGTAATCTTCCATTTGTAAACAGTGGCTCAAATTTTTAAAAACTATAAAATTTGAGCCAAGTATAATGCTTGTAGTCAGTATGCCACTAATTTGTGACTCCTTTATTAGATCAATATAATGATGATGAGTGCTACAGGCAGCAGTAGGAATTTATAACAGGGATGCTACCAAGACTGGGAGATTACAGAAACCTTCCTTAAGTAAGTGATGTTTAAGGTAATGTCTGAAATTAATTAAGTGACATTGGGCAGTGGGAAGTAGAAAGAGAGGGGAATCTTCTAGACAGAGGAAGAAAATACTCAAAACCCCAAACAACTCAAGGAATTGGAGTGTACTTAAAGCAAAAGGGAAAGTGACTAGAAAAGAGAATGGAGAGGTGGACAAAGGGTAATCCTGCAGGGTCTTGCAGGCACATCAGGGATATTTTAGAAATATATTCATAGAGATATTTTCTTTCTTTTCATTGTTTTTGAAAGAGTAAAAAGTGTCATCGAAAATAACGTCAGGTACCAAAATACAAATGCTATATGGATATTTGTTGAGCATTCTGGTCTCTGCATTCCTTTCAGGGAGCTCTGTCATGAGCAAAGCAGAAGATTCTTAACATAAGTGCTCCCAATAGTTATCTATAATTCCTTCTTTCTGGCTTGTAGCCAGATACAGGATGGAGAGCAGATTTATGAAGGAGTGGAGCAGTGGCAGTACACAGTTGTTCAGTGAGGTTCTGTATCGTCAGCCCT